GCGAGTAAGGCCTTGATTGTTTCCATCACTCCTTCTAGGAGCAAATTTGAGAGGGAGGTGCCAAGGAAGTGAAGCCAAAATTAGAAAACAGAAGGCGTTCTCAGGAGGTTTGTTCTAAAAGACAGATTGCCCCCAGAAGCGTAGAGAGGCCAACACATTCAGTTGTCGACAATGGGTTGGAAAACCAAATTGAAAACTGCAGTAGGGCAAAAACTAGAACATCCATTGCTCCTGGTCCTGAGGAGCAATGGATGGAAGATCATTAAAGAGAGATCCAACCTAGAACTATGGATAAATATCTTGACAGTGAGAACAATTCAGCAACAGAATGTCTTGCCCTCAGAAGTTGTGGGTGCTCCATCACTGGAGGTTTTCAGAAAAGGGATTTGTCTGAAATGGTTATAGGTGTCAACTCGCAAAGCATCCCTGGCCTGCTCTCAAGTTGCCATAGGCAAGGGGGATGGGAAACCGACAAACAGCACGGCAGCCAAATACAAAAGCACATTCCAGACATATCTCTCTCAAGGCTGTCTCCCAGGGTTACCCACAGTGGCCGGAGGGGAGTGATTGGCTTGAGATTCATGATTTAGTTAGGGCATCTGTCAGAACCCTGACATTAGGGTTTCCTGCTTGAGCAGGGGGTTGGACTAGAAGATCTCCAAGGTCCCTTCCAACTCCTATTCTATTCCTATTTCCTATTCCATTTCCTATTCCGTTTCCTATTTCATTTCCTATTCCATTCCATTTCCTATTCCATTCCATTTCCTATTCTATTCCATTCCATTTCCTATTCTATTCTATTCCATTCCATTCTCAAGATCTTCAGGACAGATCCCGAGAAGCAAAGTAAAAACGCTGCTACCAGACCTTCAGTTTGCAGACTCAAACAGGACCTACATTCTAAACAGCAGAACGTATCAACGTACAGGTTGATCATCCATCCCAATGGTGACCTTAGGAAAGGATCTGTGCTAGAAGCTGCTGATGACTTTCTGAATGTAACAGAAGCTGTGTTTTTAGTCTGAAAGTCTTAAAGAGCTTAAGGGCTGATTATCAAGGTGAGATGGGCAGTAAACAAATCTAATAAATAATCTAAGTGAGCACCTATTTAGTTCCAGATACATCAGTCTGGGAGCCAGGACTATAGCAAGACCAGATGCCCTCTCTGACCCATAATACTCTTCACTAGCAAGACAAGGTCCTCTTTCTGGCCCACAATTCTCTTCACTAGCAAGACCAGTTGTCCTTTTTGACCCATAATGCTCCTTTGGACCCATCATTCTCTTTGCTAGGATGCTCAAGCTTTCAAGGACCTATTTGTGATGCTCCAGGGCACAGAATTTTTTTCTGTGCTACTCCCAACCCTGAGAATGCGTTTGGCTTTCGTTCTTTCAAAGAGACCTTCCCTTTCAGCCAGGCCCTTAAGAATCTGACTAATAATGATTAAGCTTTTGTTGAAATCTTGTATTCTAGTCATGTCATATTTTACTTTTACAGCTAACTGCCTTGAGTGCCAGACAGATAGAAGGGCAGGGTATAAATTGAAACAATAAAGTTAATTAAATGAAGAGGGGTGGGTGGGGGTAGAGGGAATTAAAGCATGGCACTTGGAGACAAGATCAGCGTGGAAGTAAAAACTCTACTCGGCTCTTGCCAGAAGGGATCCAAATCAGATGGTCACCACATTATAAAAAAGATGTTAAGACTCTGGAAAATGTGCAGAGGAGAGCAACCAGGATGATTAGGGGACTGGAGACTAAAACATATGAAGAACGGAAATGGGCATGGCTAGTCTAGTGAAGAGAAGGACCAGGGTAGACAGGATAGCGGTGTTCCAATATTTGAGGGGCTGCCACAAAGAGGAGGGGGTCAAGCTATTTTCTAAAGGACCTGTAGGCCAGACAAGGAATAATGGATGGAAACTGAACAAGGAGAGATTCAACCTGGAAATAAGGAGAAATTTTCTGACAATGAGAACCAACCAATCAACCAATGGAACAGAAATTGCCTTTGGAAGTTGTGGGAGCTTCATCACTGGAGGCGTTCAAGAAGAGTTTGGACTGCCATTTGTCAGAAATGATGTAGGGTCTCCTGCTTGGGCAAGGGGTTGGACTAGATGACCTACAAGGTCCCTTCCAACTCTTTAATCTGTTAATTTTTCTCGAAGGAGGCACAAATCCAAAGAGGTGGTAGACCCTCAATTCTAAATAGTGCCCTACTTGCCCAGTTTCCCAATTGGAGGAGTCTCCAACTGAATCCAAGCTTTATTTTATTTTATTTTATTTTATATTTTATGTTTTCCATGATGGAGCTGTCTCTGTCCTTTCACCCGATTTTGTTTATAGTTTGGTGTTCTGTGCAAGGTGCTATGCTTATTTACTGTTAACTTGTTTATTTTGCTTCATTTGTGTGGCCAACCATCTCAACAAGTGACTCTGGGCAGGGAACCATCTTACGTTAAAAACAATTCCAATCACAAAGACAAAAATTACCTCAGAATGGAATAGAATAACAGAGTTGGAAGGGACCTTGGAGGTCTTCTAGTCCAACCCCCTGCTTGACTCCTTTTGTTCACCTAAATCTCAGCGATTCCCCTCTATTAGCATTACAGGGAGTCCACAACTTACAACAGCTTGTTTAGTGACCATTCAAAGTTACGCCACTGAAAAAAAGGGACTTATGACTGTTGCAGCATCTCATTGTGCTCATGTGATCAGAATTTCAATGCTTGGCAACTGACTCATATTTATGACGGTTGCAGTGTCCCGGGATCACTTGATCCCCTTTTGTGATCTTTTGACAAGCAAAGCCAATAGGGAAGCCAGATTCACTTAACAACCCTGTTACTAACTTAACAACTTCAGTGATTCTCTTAACAAATGCAGCCAGAAACGTCGTAAAATGAGACAAAACTCACTTAGCAAATGTCTTGCTTAGCAACAGGAATGTTGGACTCCATTGTGATCGTAAGTCTGAGGACTACCCGTATTCTCTTTGAGTGTACCCATTTCATTTTAATTCATTCCCATTCTTTTTAGAATGAGTTTTTAGACATTTACTCTTAGGAAGCTTATTGCTAAAAGAGCCTCAATGGCGAAAAAGAAAAGAAGAGCTGGAGCTAATTCTGGCCACCCCCCCAATCCCAGGGAAACTGCTAAACCATGAAGATGGAAGAGTTAATACCAACCGTGGATCTAATCTCAATAAATGGGAATGATTTATTTGCTCTCCCTAACTAATTTGACCTTTAAATTTAATAGGAAACTAAGATGAAGATCTACAGAGCAATCCTAAAATGAGCCCTCCCCACTTTTTTGAAAGCGATTATCAGATAACCTCCTCAACAGCACAGTCACAGAAGACCCACACAAGAATGTAATAGTCTCTCTCTCTCTCTCTCTCTTTCTCTCTGTGTATCTCTTTCCTTCTCTCTGTCTTTCTCTCTCTCTCTCTGTGTATATGTATCATCTCTCTGTCTCTGTCTCTCTGTGTATGTGTGTCTCCTTCTCTCTCTCTCTCTGTCTCTCTCTCTCCTTCTCTCTCTCTCTGTCTCTCTCTGTGTGTGTCTCCTCTCTGTCTTTCTCTGTGTCTGTGTGTGTGTCTCTCTTTCTCTCTCTCTCTGTCTCTCTCTCTGTATCTCTCTCTCTTCTCTCTCTCTGTCTCTGTCTCTGTATCTCTCTCTCTTCTCTCTCTCTGTCTCTCTCTCTGTATCTCTCTCTCTGTCTCTCTCTCTGTCTCTCTCTCTGTATCTCTCTCTCTTCTCTCTCTCTGTCTCTGTCTCTGTGTGTGAGTGTCTCCTTCTCTCTGTCTCTCTCTCTCTGTGTCTCTCTCCTCTGTTTCTCTCTGTGTGTGTGTCTGTCTGTCTCTCTCTCTATGTGTGTGTGTCTCCTTCTCTCTGTCTCTCTCTCTCTGTGTGTGTCTCTCTCTCTCCGTCTCTCTCTCTGTTTCTCTCTTCTCTCTCTCTGTATGTGTGTCTCCTTCTCTCTGTCTCTCTCTCTGTCTCTCTCTCTTGTTCTATCTGTCTCTCTCTCTCTCTCTCTCTCTCTCTCTCTCTCTCTCTCTCACACACACACACACACACACACACAAACACACAGTCTCTCTCGCTCCCTCTCTCGGTGTCTCTGTCTCTCTCTCTCTGTCTCTCCCTTTTTTCTCTCTGTCTCTCTTAACTTGATCTGCTGGCAAGATACGATCTTACATGTGTGCTGAAAGCATTTTACTGGCTGCTAATTGCACAGAGGTGAAATACAAATGTTGCTGATGACCTTTAAAGTTCTGTACAGTCTACGTCCAGTTCCCCGAAAAGAATGCCTCTTTCTATCTAATCCCCAGCCCCAACTGTTCAGATCCTCGAGAGAGAGAGAGAGGGAGATTTACTGACAACTGCCAGAAGTTCATCTCATAGAGCTCAGGATCAAACCTTCTTTGTTGTTGTCCGAGTTCTCTGGAATGTACTCTGCACCACATGAAAAGGATTTCCCAGGTGGCTTTTAGAAAACCTTTAAAACAGATCCTTTTCCATTGAGGAGAATACACGCAGCTCAAGGTTGAACACAAGTGAGCTCCAAGAAGGGCTTTGAGGTGGTTTCATTGTCTTGAGGATCGAGTCACAAAACATGGATGAAGGAAAACCAAATGCATGGAGAAGAAAGGGAAGACTGAGAAAGTTGCGGTTGGATGGAATTAATGACAAGATCACGAAGCACAAAGACATGAGAATGTTACAGAAGAAAAGACAATCAATGAATGAAGAAGTATATGGTGGCGGTATATGATGAAAAGCAAGGATAAACAAAGAAGCATACTGAAGAGCGTATAATGTAATTTTAGCTACGTTTCCTTTTCTTTTTCCTTACCTAATGCTGTTCATTTCTTTGGCTTATTATGTCCCCGTTTCTATGCTTGACATAACACTGCTTACTCTGAATAGGAACAGTATGCTGGGTATGTATGTCTGCAACGGACCAAAATTAACCACAAATTGTGAATGAACTTACTTATTTTAGGGCAGTGTCCTATGTATACCATTGGCGCCTCTCCCTCCGGAGCTGTTTTGTCCTCCCCAAGATCCAATCTTTGCCAACAAAGACAGAAGGAGTTACTTCCTGATGGCAGCTTTCATCTGTGGAGAAAGTTCCATTGCTATAATTAGATGGGCAGCAATGCCCTAAATGTGCAAAACCAGTGAAAACGTATCAACCTTGCATCAAAGCCAATCTAACTTTGCTGAAGGGGAAGGAAGGAAGGAAGGAAGGAAGGAAGGAAGGAAGGAAGGAAGGAAGGAAGGAAGGAAGGAAGGAAGGAGGAAGGAAGGAAGGAAGGAAGGAAGGAAGGAAGACCACACCTGGAATACTGCATCCAGTTTTGGTCACCACGTTACTAAAAAGATGTTGAGACTTTGGAAAAAAAATTCCAAGAAGAGCAACTAAGATGATTAAAGCCCTGGAGACAAAAACATATGAAGAACGGTTGCAGGAACTGGGTATGGCTAATCTGAAGAAAAGAAGAACTAAGGAGGATATGATAGCAGTATTCCAGTATTTGAGGGCCACGAAGAAAAGGGGATCAACTTATTTTCCAAAGCACCAGAAGGCAGGATAAGAAACAACAGGTGGAAACTAATCAAGGAGAGATTCAACCTAGAATTAAGGAGGAACTTCCTAACAGTGAGGACAATTAACCAGTGGAACGCCTTGCCGTCAGAAGTTGTGGATGCTTCCTCATTGAAGGTTTTTAAGAAAAGACTGGGCAGCCCCCTGTCTGAAATGGTTTGGGGTCTCTTGCTTAAGCAGGGGATTGGACTAGAGGACCTCCAAGGTCCCTTCCAGCTCTATTCTGATGGATGGATGGATGAATGGATGAATGGATGGATGGATGGAAGAATACATGAGAAAGGAAGGAAGGAAGGAAGGAAGGAAGGAAGGAAGGAAGGAAGGAAGAAGGAAGGAAGGAAAAATAGATGAGTGAGAGAGGAAGGAAGGAAGCAATGAAGGAACAAAGGAAAAATAGATGAGTAAGGAAGGTGGGAAGGAAGGAAGGAAGGAAGGAAGGAAGGGAAGGAAGGAAGGAAGGAAGGAAGGAAAAATAGATGAGTGAGAGAGAAAGGAAGGAAGCAATGAAGGAACAGAGGAAAAATAGATGAGTAAGGAAGGTGGGAAGGTGGGAAGGGAGGAAGGAAGGGGGAGGGAGAAAAAATAGATGAGTGAGAGAGGAAGGAAGGAAACAATGAAGGAACAAAGGAAAAATAGATGAGTAAGGAAGATGGGAAGGTGGGAAGGTAGGTAGGTAGGTAGGTAGGTAGGTAGGTAGGTAGGTAGGAAGGAAGGAAGGAAGGAAGGAAGGAAGGAAGGAAGGAAGGAAGGGTTAAGCCACATATTTGGCGTTTGGAATGTTTGGGGATCACAAAATGGCTGTCAGAAGTCAAGCTGGTGACAATGGACCTTGCCATCTTCTCAAAAGCCCCCCCCCCCAAGATGCTCTCCAACAACTCTTTGCCCAGCTTTCTTTGGCCTCTTTTTTTTCTGGGCATCTACCCAAAGCCCTGGCCTGCAGCAGCTCCTGCCATCTTGATTTTCCAGGGGGCCCAGATGGGGGATAGACACATTTCTCCAATAAGGATGACAGCGACGGTTGGTATTTTTATTTTGCAGCATGCCATCTTCCAATCCTTTTCTTTTTTTTTCTTTTTTTTTATTAAAAGAGCATTTTTTAAAAATGAAGCTAGAATGGGCCAAGGGCCATTTGGCTAGCTTAATAACGTCATGCGTCTGTTCCAAATGGAAATGTTTTCATGTCAGCACACATGGAATTTACACTTCGGCAAGGAGACGTGGAGCTACTTTCTAAGAGGCAAGAGATTTTTATTAGCGCTCAGCAGTCAACAAAAACATTAAAAGCAAAAACAAAAAAGCGCAACAACCCACAAGAACCCCAAGGAAAAGGAAAACATCCAGAAAATGAGCTATATCAAAAAAAAAAGGGGGGGGAGGGAGTGCATAGTTTGGGATTACATATAAATGCGTCGGTAATCCTAAACAGATATAATTTTAAACCTTTTCCGTCTTTCCATTCAAAGGTTTATTTGTACAGAAAGAGGCAATCTAAGAGGAATTACTTCGTTGATAGAATCAAAACCTTTTGAATGAAAGAATTCAAGATTCTTTGTGGCCTGGAGTAATCCTTCATCGGGGCTATTGCCCAGAATTAAATACCATTGATCCAAATTAGGATACCCAACCAGGAAGGTGTGTGTGTGTGTGTGTGTGTGTGTGTGTGTGTGTATCAAATATATTTTACTGATAAAGAAATAAAGGGAGACTGTGAGTAGACCAGGTGTCTCGGTAAAACACACACACACACACACACACACACACACACACATACACATACACATACACATACACATACACATACACATACACATATACATATACATATATATATATATATATATATATATATATATATATATGCTGCTATGATAATCTATCTATCTATCTATCTTTCTATCTACTTATCTATCTATCTATCTATCTATCTATCTATCTATCTATCTATCAGTGCCTAAGACACTGAACTTGTCGATCAAAAGGTCAGCAGTTCAGCGGTTCGAATCCCTAGTGCCGCGTAACGGGGTGAGCTCCCGTTCTTTGTCCCAGCTTCTGCCAACCTAGCAGTTCGAAAGCATGTAAAAAATGCAAGTAGAAAAATAGGGACCACCTTTGGTGGGAAGGTAACAGCGTTCCATGAGCCTTTGGCATTGAGTCCTGCCGGCCACATGACCACGGAGACGTCTTCGGACACCGCTGGCTTTTTGGCTTTGAAATGGAGATGAGCACCGCCCCCTAGAGTCGGGAATGACTAGCACATATGCGCGAGGAGAACCTCTATCTATCTATCTATCTATCTATCTATCTATCTATCTATCTATCATCTATCTCTTTCTATCCACCTATTATCTGTCTGTCTGTCTGTCTGTCTACCTATTATCAACTATCTATCCATCCATCCATCCATCCATTCATGTCCAGTCAATCCAAAGGATTTCTTTAAAAATTTGAAATTCCTCTTTTCTAATAGGAAGGTTTTCCTTTAGAGCAGTGCTTCCCAAACCTGGTAAATTACCCCAAACTAGGTAAAAGTGGTTTTTCCTTGGGTAACAACATACACACGCATTACCCATCACAAGAGAGACATTTCGAATGGACTTAAATGACTTAAACTGTGAAATTAATATTTAAGCACGATTTGAGGCTGTAGCTTTTCAAACAGCCCGTTTCAGATTTGAGTGGAGGAGGTATAGTGAAGGTTTCAGCCTCAAATTGGTTGAAAAACGAGAACTTCTGCACACTTTCAGTTGTATGTTGTGGTTGTGTAGTTGTGTGTATGAAGCGGTGGGTGCTCCATCACTGGAGGCTTTCAAAAAGAGACTGGAAAAACCATTTATCTGAAATGATAGAGGGCAGTGGTGAAATCCAAATTTGTTTATTACCGGTTCTGTGGGCGTGGCTTGGTGGGCGTGGTGTGGTGTGGCTTGGTGGGCATGGCAGGGGAAGGATACTGCAAAATCTCCATTCCCACCCCACTCCTGGGGGAAGGATATTGCAAAATCTCCATTCCCACCCAACTCTGGGGCCAGCCAGAGGTGGTATTTGCTGGTTCTCCGAACTGCTCAAAATTTCCGCTACCGGTTCTCCAGAACCTGTCAGAACCTGCTGTTTCCCACAGAAAGGAAAACACCGGGAGCCACAAAACCCTTCCCGTGCCTGACTGTTTTTTGAGCAGCCACAAAACTGGCATATGTAGTTGAATTAAACATTCTGCTTTCTTCTGAAACTTTTCTTTTCTTGGATTTATCTATGGTTGGCCTACCAGGGGTTGAAAAGCTCAATAAATCACATGCCAGCGGGTGTCGCACATTGGCGGTTGTGATGCATATTTTGAGTGACAGGGAGCCGCAGCAGAGGGGTGAAAGAGCCACATGCGGCTCCAGAGCCGCAGGTTGCTGACCCCTGGTATAGTGCAATATTAATGCAATATCGCCAGGGGTTTTCAATTCAGTTCTACAGAATGTGAAGGATGTGTGTTTTTTATACGTATAAATGTACACTGAAGATGGCATTTAATTTTGTTGTACGGGGCGCAATGACAATAAAGTAACTAAACTGAACTAATTGGAAATTCGCTGTACAGGCGGCTAGGAGAGGAGGGTCAGTCCAACGCTAACCCACCCTCCAAAATTTCTTGAGCTGAAACAGAGATCCCCGAGCTCCAGCTTTTCTGGCTCCGTGTCTGCAGGCTGGAAGGGCTTCAAATATGCTGAGCTTATGTGACTGCATATTGTACTTCCAGACTAAAAATAGCCAGGCAGGAATCCTACAGTAGGAAAAGCATCTCCTGGACTGTTAAGCCCTCAGGAATGGGGGAAATATGCTGCCTTGGAAGTCGTCCCACAATTCAGTAAACTCCCCGCCCCCCGAAACTCTGCTCTCTCCTTTCCTAGATCTCTGGATGCCACGGCAGGCATGGGTACTTTCCCCAAATATACAAGCTGGCGGGTTACAGGCAGTCCTCGACTTACAACACTTCATTGAGTGGCCGTTCAAAGTTACGACGGCCCTGAAAACAGTGACTCACGACCATCTTACATTAAAAAAACCATTCCAATCACAAAGACAAAAATTACACCTCGACTCCTTTTTGTTCACCTAACTCTCGGCTCATTCCCCTCTGTTAGCATTAAAGGGAGGCACGAGGCTCAGGGTTGACTCAGCCTTCCATCCTTCCGAGGTGGGTAAAATGAGGACCCAGATTGTTGGGGGCAAAAGGCTGATTCTGTAAACCTTAGAGAGGGATGTCAAAGCACTGTGAAGCGGTACAGGAGTCTAAGTGCTATAGCTATTGCTACATATGTGTCGGTGGTAGGTTTCAAATTTTTTTTACTACCGGTTCTGTGGGCGTGGCTTGGTGGGCGTGGCAGGGGAAAGATATTGTAAAATCTCCATTCCTTCCCCTGGAGTGGGGAAGGAATGGATACTGCAAAATCCCCATTTCCTCCCGATCAGCTGGGACTCGGGAGGCAGAGAATAGGGAGGCAGGGCCAGTCAGAATTTTTACTACTGG